AGTTCTAAAGAATTTAAGGCTTAAAGATAAAAAAAATTATGTTACTTATGTCAAGCAACAAGTTGATTGGTTATTTCTAAATAATGATTCATTGGGTAATTGTTTTTGCTAAATTTTCAGGGAACATTGATAATCAATTACAGCTCATAGGCTGTTACAGTTTATACTAATATATTTTCCAAAAAAATAGTGAGAAATAATCTCATAAAATACTATGTCAATTTTTACTAATGGTTCTTCTAATATATTATAAATGGTAAAAAATATACAGAACAGACTGCTCCAACCACAGCTCAGGTCATCAAGTTACTAGCTGTTACAATGGTCTTTCAGCATCTAATAAAGTGATTCCTTTAATTTGTATACTAATAATCATGTTTTTAAGGCTCTTTAAGTAATAGAGACAATTCTATAGATAAAAACTATGACTATCAGCTTAAAAATGTTATTTAAACAAATTCAAAATACTATTCACCTACAAAAATTGCTGTGTTTCGTGGGTCACATTAGGGAGCCCATTCAGGCCTTTCCCTACCTACTGGCTAAAGGGAACTTATCAATGGTTCGATTAATAAAATTGGTTAATTTGTCTTAGATAAAGAGAACTCTACAGCCTCATAACTTTCATCACTAAAATAACAAAAACTCTAAGAAAACAATTTGGTTTAACTAGAGAGACTACTCGTCAAAATTGCCAAACAATAAGGTGTACTTACAATGTTTATCTGTAACTAATTTAGCAATAAACCCTAGAGGTCCACTTCCTAATCATCCATGGCAAATAGATGTTACTCATATTACAAAATTTGACAAATTAAAATATATACACATGACAATTGATAGATATTTAAATTTCTAAACATATGACAACTAATAAACCTATACACCAAACTGTAAAAAAGACCCAATTTGGGGTGGAGGAAATGTTTGTGCTTTCTTATAGGGAAACAATAAAACAAGATGGCTATTGGACCATTTGGAGATATGCATGGAGAAGAGGAAAACTGGCATGCTGAGATAAAATAGCCACCCCTCTCCTCCTCCTGAAAACCCCACCTCCAAACTCACCCTTAGCCAGCTCATGAGTTCTGGACTCTGTGTGACACCCCCCACTTTCAATTCCCTTAACCCATTCTTATCTCTGCACCCTTACCATGTCCCCTGCTGATTCCTCCTAACAATGCCTGGTGGGCCTGCCTCAATGGCCTCACTCCCAGCTTTTCCACCTATATCTTTGAGAAGGTGGCATTCTGAGCTCTTGTGCAGATTATTACCGAGCTCTCGTCTCGCTTATTACCAGCCTGACAAATTCTTTGACTTCTAGGAACAATCCCAAGGGACCTCCACCCTTTCCCATCCTCACAAAGGCAAGGAACCTATATCAGCAATTAAAATTGCAGTCCTCCTCTGCTTGGGAGCTGTAGGAGCAGGTACTGGGATCTCTTCCCTCATCATTGGCCGATCCAGCCATTCTGAGCTCAGTGACACTATAGACTGAGATGTTAAGGAACTTCAAAACCAGGTAGCCTACTTAGAAGAATCCCTACAATCTCTAGTTGAGGTATTCCTACAAAACAGAAGAGGCCTAGATCTATTCCTCTTCCAACAAGGGGACCTCTACCCCACCCTCAGAGAGGAATGTTGTTTTTATGTTAAACGTTCAGGAGTCATTAAAGATAGCATGGCTAGAGTCAGAGAGGGCTTAAAACAAAACAAAACAAAACACCCCAAAAGGCAAGAGAATAACAGGAAGCCTGGTACCAAAACTGGTTCTCCACTTCCCCATGGCTTAGCACCCTCCTACCTTCTCTCCTGGGACCCCTTGTGGGACTTCTGCTATTGGTATCCTTTGGCCCTTGGGCCTTTAAATGACTAGTGGCCTTTATCAAACAGCAGGTAGAATCTGCCACTAGGCCTATTCAGGTTCATTATCATAAACTCTCCTCCAGGAGGATGACCTTGGCTACCCCAACACCACTCGCCTTGGCTGGTCCCCCGGAAAGGTAACTAACCTTATGACCCCCATGGCCAGCTTCAGAGGTGCAGAGCCGGATGGTACTGCGGAAAGATTAAGATCACATCTTTCAAGGAAAATGCCTGCGTGCAACCGGATCAATGTTCCATCTCCCTGCCCCCACAAAAGAACATGGGGCTATCAAACCCCCAGGATGGATACCTGTCCTGAGGGTCACAAGAGTCTACCCTGCCCAATCTGCTAGGGGGCCAGGTCTCTATCACCCTCTGTTGCAAAACTTGGCCTTTTCCTTTAATACAAGGAAGGCAGAATATGTTGGGAGCCATACAGTTTGGCATGGACCTTTAGGCCAAACTTGGCAAGCCACAGGGTTACAGAACTATCTTTTGATTATAAATGGCTTCTAGAAGCATGAGCACCCAGAAGGAACAACATGACCCAGACATCAATCCTTTGTTCCAACCACAGGCCCACTTACCTAAGCAACCCTCCCGCATCCCACCACTTACCTAGGTAACCCTCCCTCTCCCTACCACCCATGAACTTTTTACCCTGCCAACATCCTCCTTCTATAGTTTTCTAACATCCTGCTTAAACTAACACCTGGCTCTTGGCCTCTTCACACCCTCTCCTTTACCCCATACTACTGACTATATAAGCTGGAAAAAAATAAAATTCACCACTTGATCAGAATCCTGTTTTGTGGCCATTCTCTCGCATCTCTTGTCTCCATTCCCCTCCCTGGACTTTTTGCTCTATGTTGCAGTTGGGACAACTACAAGTCAGGGTGATTTTTTTTTTTTTTCTCCCAAGATTGGATCGGAACATTTAGACCAGGAATGACCAGCAAGCCTTCTATTTCTGTCAAAGGCTGGACTCATGCTCGCACATCTGAGGATCTTGAGGTGGACGCCAGCCTCACTGCCCATGGCTGTCCTGTGACAGGCTCCTGAGAGCCCTGTTGGAGAGCAGCCCTCATTTTCTGTTTACTGGGACTTGGGAAAATCAAACTCAGGGACAAGGAATCTACAGGCTTCCCACAGCCTTCTGCTAGCTCAAGACAGTTTTCTCCAACCTGTGGCTGGAAAGTCCCTAACCACCAGGGAAACGATCAACCCTGCGGCAACATGTAAACTTTTCCTTTAAACCCACTAGTCAACCCCCAGACTTCCTGCAATTCCCCCAACGTTTCTTAAGAGTAGCCGGAGAGCTTCTCTCGGGGTCACCATTTTGTAACTTAGTCAGATGCCTGGACCGCTGCATGCTGGATTAAACACGCTTGCTGATTGTATGTTATCTGGTAGTATTTCGTTGGATTTCTCCTGGACCCTAACTTCCTGCAAGACTGACTTCTTCCTTCCACACTCTGCTGCTGCTTCTGGGCACAAATACAGGAACTATATAAATCATCTAATTAGGTTTCAGGACTCCCGTCGCGCAGACTTCTGGGAAATGTAGTCTCTGCGACTGTGATGTCACAGAGAGCCGTTCCGGAAATCGCGATCAGGTTGTTGGTCTCTACAAGTGGGTCTTCCGCAAACTTGGGTGCCAGTCCTGTCTCGCTGCGTCTCCTGCTCCGTCTCTGACTTGGAGGTTGGTCCAGGGTGCAGCGAAGCCTGAGGCTCTGTGCGGGGTGCGGGTTCCGACTTGGAGGGAGAGGACCTGGGAGGGGGGGGACGGGGGGGGGAGGTCGGAGAAGTTGCTTGGGAATTCCTGGGCTGAACTGGCTGGGACTCGGGAGGTTGCAGGTCTGGGCTGGGAGAGGGCGATGGGACTGTGCCCAGAGAGATGGTTTCCTTAGGACGTGCAGCCCGAGTCCGCCTTGGGCTTCTGGGACAGGAGAGCTGCCTGGGAGCGAGGAGTAGATGATAGCGCAAGGTCCAGGACTGCAAGCTAGTGATGGTCAGCTGAGGTGACCAGGATGCAAGCTAATTATGGTGAGCTGACTGCCTGCTCCTGAGGTGGAGGTGGCAGCTCACTGAGCAGCTTTGGTACGGAAGCAGGCTTCACAAGCTGAGCCATTCTCACATGGCTGCTGTCAGATTTCTCAGTGTCTTAGAGCAAACGGGGTTTCTGACCCCTCCTGTACTCTAAACTGCCTAGTGTAAGGGTCTTGATGTCTTGGTTGTGTTCATTTTCTCTGCCAGTTAAAGAATTAAGTGAGGAAATACTCGAGACACAATGGTTCGCTAGTATGAAATTCTGAAGTGTATGTGTGTGTGGTGTATGGGTGGACATGGCACTAAATGCATGTTTTGTGGATGCATTCATTTTACACTTCCTCTGTCTTAGTTAGATTGTGTGTTCAACTGGGCTTATAGGATTTTTTTGTCATGTCTTTCATTGAACATGTGTACAGTTTGAAATCAAGTGACCACTTCAGACATGTCTGAGGACTATTACTCAACTATGCAAAAAAACATTTCTAGCTGTTATGGTGGGAAAAATCTAGCTTTGTATCCATAGACACACAATGCCTGTGTTCGGGTTTCTATTGCTGTGTTAAAGACCTTGAAGAAAGACAGGTTGGAGAAGAAGGGGTTTATTGTAGACTGCAACTTCAGGTAACTGTCCATCCCTGAGGGAAGTCAAGGCTGTAACCTGAGGCAAGAGCTGGAGCAGAGGCCCCTGGAGAACACTGCTTACCGACTTGCCCAGCCTGCTTTTCTACACCATATAGGATCGCCTGCCCAGGGTGGGTACCACCCATAGTGGACTGTGCTGTCTCATATCAATCACTAATTTAAAAATACCCTCTAGGCTTGGAGCAGGTCAGTCTTAGGTAGACATTTTCTCTATTATGTTTCTCTTTTCTCAGATGACCCTAGCTAATGTCAAGTTGACAGAAGAACTATCCATATCCAGCCCAATGCATCTTGGTATTTATATCATTACTGGTTTAAATTAAATTAAAGTGTGTTATCGTCCATTGGTCTTTATTTCAGGAAATGCTGTCCTTCTGGGATGTGGCCATTGAGTTCTCTCCAGAAGAGAGGAAATGCCTGGATCCTGCTCAGTGGAATCTGTACAGGAATGTGATGTTGGAGAATTACAGCAACCTTGAGTTCCTAGGTAAGGAACTCATCCATAGTGAATTCTTATTTCACCCTCAACATATATCTCACTCACTTATGTACTGTATCTCATGGTAACATTTCAACGTCAAGTTGCATATGATTCATTTTCAGAAAAATAAAGAGTTTTTCTGTATTAAGAATACTTTTAGTACTGGAGAGATGGCTTAGTGAAAAAGAGCACTGACTGCCCTTCTAGAAGACAGGGGTTCAATTCCAGCATCCACATGGCAACTTATAGATGTCTGTAGTTCTAAGGTCTGACACCTTTACAGAGACATACATGCAGGAAAAACCTCAGTGCACATAAAAAATAAAGTTAAATTATTTTTAAAAAGAATCATTTCACTGTTTTTCTGTTTTTGTGTTTAACGTTTGTATGTTGCATGTATATTTACTTCACTCTTGTGGGACTGTTAGAAATTCACTGGCATGAGACTTGGAGTACAGTTATTAATGAAAGTCTTTCACAATTCAGTTTTTGTGTTTTCTCCCTTTACATGAAACAGAGAATCTCGATGTTGTAAATTTCTTTATGTACTGTAGTGATCCTGACAGAAAACATTTATTTTTTTGAACTGATTGTCTGGAGTCATTTATTACATCACCATGCACTAGAAGGGACATGTCAATTCCCAATAGAAGAACACCTGAACAATCTTGTTCCTTTTTCTGTAACAGGTCTTGCTGTCCCTAAGCCACACCTGGTGACATTTCTGGAGCAAAAACAAGAGCCTTCAGGAGTGAAGAGACAAGCAGCAGCCACCGTGTATCCAGGTGTGTAGGAATGAGGGGTCAGGGGCAGAGTTAGGTCCAAATATCCCACAGAAAGACAGACTTTCCCATGTGCCTAGAAACATGATTCTATGGGAATCATTCTATAGGTCTCTCTTCATGTCTTTCTTGTCAAAGCACATCTCTCAAAAGTTTATGATGGTTTAAGTCTCTTCTGCTTCTCATTTGTCAACAAAGAGCTGGGCTTCTATTTATAGGGAACTCCAAGGTTTCTTTTTTTGTTCAGTCTGTACTATAGTGTAAGTCTCAGGGAAAGAGAAGTCAGTGCTAGTCAGACTGAGAGTCATTTCATCATTCCTTTGCAGAGTTTGACAGCAGACTCCTGCCAGGAGGATCTCTACATCAATGTGAGCATGGTTGGCTTCATAAAGCCAAACCCACAATTCCATCATAGAGATCCAGGCATGACAGAGGCTCACCAGTTTCAGTTCTGATGATCAGAACAATTTGGGAGTGAGTAGCAGTTGAATGAAGATCAGACACACTTTGGATAGTTCATTCCCCACTGAACTTAGGGAAGATTCAAAGCATTAACATACTGTAAAAGGGATTCTGTTGGGACATTGGGTACACTAATTTAAGGGATGCTGTTTTCTTTTTCAACACTTTTACCACTAGTTGGTTCAGTAGGGCCTGTCCATTTACCTAGGAGGAGTAGGACAGGATGACCAACAAGTCCCTACACTGTTGATTCAGGGATGCCCATCAACCACTTTGGATATAGTGATTGTGTGCATCTTGTTCATGACAGTAGAGTTGGATCTTTTAGCTAGTCATAAGGCTCCCTCTACAATGATTGAAATTTTTGCTGGGTATAGTAGTCTGTGTTGGCATCCTTAGTCTCTTAGGGTCTGTAGAACATATATCCAGGGCCTTCTGTCAATATTTAGAAGGCAGCAAATGGCCAAAAACACTTAAGCCATTTGCCTTAGCCATCAGGGAAATGCCAATCAAAACAACTGTGAGATACCATCTTACCCCTGTACTGAAGATCAAAAACACTGATGACAGCTTATGCTGGAGAGGATGTGGAGAAAGGGAAACAATCCTCCATTGTTGGTGGGACTGCAAACTTGTACAACCTCTGTGAAAATCAGTAGAGCCAATTCCCAGAAAATTGGGACTCAATCTACCTCAAGACCCAGCAATACCACTCTTGGGCATATGCCCAAAGGAGGCACACTCATACCGAGAGGACATTTGCACAACTGTGTTCATAGCAGCATTATTTCTAATAGCCGGAACCTGGAAACAACATAGATAACTCCCAACTGAAAAATGGGTAAGGAAAATGGATTACATTTACATAATGGAGTACTGCTCAGTGGGGGGAAAAATAACAAAAACAATGGCATCTTGAAATTTGTAGGCAAATGGATCAAACTAGAAAAAAAACATCCTGAGTTAGGCAAGCCAGACCCAGAAAGAAAGACTGTATACACTCGTTCATAAGTGGATATTAGACATAAAGCAAAGGATAACCAGCTTACAGTCCACAACCCCAGAGAAACTAGGTAACATGGAGGACCCTAAAAGAGACATATGTAGATCCCCCTGGGAAGGGGAAATAGACAAGATCTCCTGTATCATGTTAAGAGAGCCACCTTATATGGCACAAAATAAAAACCAAATTTGGGGACTATATCATTTCCACCTATCTCACTTTGTTTTGATTTTGAATCTTTAATACTTTTCTTAAGGTGTAAATATTATCTCAAAATGTACTATACATATATATATACATATATATATGTATATATATATATATATTAAACTTTTGTCATGCTATTAATGATCATATAGAGTACTACTTCTAGAAAAAAAAGCTTCATCTAGCTTCTTGTACATAATTTCAGGTTTGAGTATCAGGTAACTAGGAATTAAGTTTTTGTACTCTGCATATACATAAAAAATTATGGTCCTTTAACCTCTGTGAGATCTGCTGCATATGACATTTAAAATGTTTAAGTTACTTACAGTGAAAGATAACCTTTTCTAACATTGACCACTGAGATCTCCAAATGGATGATGGGGCCGCACAATGAATGTGGGTGCCCTGTATTTGGGGCATTAGGTATTCAGAATTGATACTTCTTCATGGATTTTTCCTGTGATGAATATAAAATGCCCTTATTGATCTCTTTTCATTGATTTTACTTTGAAGTCTATTTGTTAGATATTAGGATTGCTAGACCAGCTTGTTTCTTAGGTTCTTTTTTTTTTTTTTTTGGAAAATCTTTTCCAATCCTTTCCTCTGAAGTAATGTCAGTCCTTGAAGTTGAGATGTGTTTCTTATATGCAGCTGAAGGATGGATCCTGTTCTCATATCCATTCTGTTAGCCAGGGTCTTTGTATAGGTGAATTGAAACTATTGATATTAAGAAATATTAATGACCAGGGATTGATATTTCCCTGACAAGGAGTGTCAGGGCAAGTGATAAAATGTTAGGCACAGAAAAATAGCAGAGAGAGAAGAAATGGTGTAGATTATGCAATCACTCATTGAGCATCTACAGGAATAATGTAACATGTGGAATCAACTTAAAACTTTGTCCATTACTTCTCCAGTCAACATCTTTACTCTTAGAAGGAGACCCAGGGAAGGAGTTCCTATCAGGTCCCCCCCCCCCCAGAATCTGGACCAGAGAAAAATACCCACACCTACCCCATTGTAGGTCCAGAAGGACAAGGTTGGGTTTTCTATCAGGAAATACATTGGTCATTCCAGCGCTCTCTAACCCTAGTTTCATTGAGTTTATGAAGCCAAGTCCACAATAACATCATACCACATACAAGCCAGGATCTTAAAAATCTAAAAGAGTGAGTTCAGTTCTATTGATTCAAACAATTTATTTCATGATGTAAACAAGTGGCTCTTCCAAAGTTGCCAGTGAATATGTGTGAGAACATTTTCTCAGCAGATTGTTGAGTTGGGGGAGCAGTTGGATAAACCTTAAGCAAAATAGAGTTATGTACGGCAGTCAGTAACAAACTCTGTAGTGTTTCCTACCCATCTGAAAAAGTTCACACATTTCCAAATAACTAGGTGTGAAACCATTGAAAGAAACTGAATTCACACATGAGTTTCTTTTGTGTCACTTGCACTCATGTCGATGAACATGATCCCATCACAGTTATCTTTGATGAAGATATCTTGAAATTTTTTCTTTATCAGATACTCAGTAATGAGGATTTAAATGCATGGCGAGCACACACGTGCGCTGGCGTTTGCGTGAGTGTGTGTGTGTGTGTGTGTGTGTGTGTGTGTGTCCTCAAAAATTAAAACTGTAACAATGAGTATGCACTTAATAGCTCACCAAGTTCTCAATTTTATAGATTCAAATCTTTTTCTTTAGTTTGGAATTTTGTATTATTTTGGAGGTGTGTATAACTTACTATCATTTGTTATACATTCCTTGTATATTCCCTTGGATGGGTAGAACACGTTGATAAAGTACATAAGAGCAAAAGATTAAATTTTCTATGAGTTGTGTTCTATTTTTAAGCCTTGTTTGTTGTCCCTCTACTTTAATGTTCAAAAGCTGTTAAGTCTTATAAATACATAATTTTATGCCTGAGCTTGGTGGACTACTTCATTGATCCCAGTACTTGAGGGGCAGAAGTAGATCTCTAATTTTTGGGCCTACCCTGTTTAGATAGTGACTTCCAGGAAAGCAAGGTCTACATAAGAAAACTTGTCTTTAAAAAAGCAAAACAAATAAACAATAGAAATAAGTCATTTTTCATCTACTCAGTGACAAATATGTTGTCTCAGCAAAATTTGTGCAATGCCCAGTGAACCTGAAGTTTTTTTTTATTATTATTATGAATCAGTGTTTCAGGTATATTCTTGTTATCCAAATTAAACATAAAATATTCTCCTGAATTTTTGAGCTATGAATTTCGTTTTAGGCCATCTACTTCTTGTGCAGCATATCTTTTGTATCCTCCAAAATAAATCTCTATGCGGAGGACAAAAATTTTGTATTTAGGTGGAGGCTGAAATTCAGACAGTCACAATTAACTTTCTTCTGTCCCTGATTTTTTGCTCCGGCCCTTGGGGTCAGTTTATAGGTACCCTAAGGGAGGGAGCGAGGATGAAAGGGCAAGAGACACAAGAGATGGAGACAAGACAGTATTCTGATCACATCTCGTTTATTAAGCACACATGTAGGGTGAGGGAATCAGGAAGCAGTGGAAGGTGCTAGCCACCTGCAGGATGTGTTGCCAGGAAGTTTGGACAACTCGGCCAAGTAGAATGTGGGGAAAGGTGGCTGTTAGCCAGGCAGGATGTGCTTGCTAGGGGATAAGGCTCCAACTGGGGCTCTCCTGACCCCAGAGATGGACATATGCTTTACAAGAAGATAAGCAGATGCAAAGAGCCCAAAACTTAAATGGGTGTTAGTTCCTAAAATAGTAATAGAAGGCACAAGATGACAATTATTATGCTATCTTCATTCAGGGTCCTCTACAAGTCCCCCTTTTCTTTAATATAATTAGAGGGACATACGTTGGGATTTACTTGAAGGGACTATTTTTGTCTTAGGTCAGTAGGAATGGTGGGCCGAGAGTGTGAACAACTCTACCCGTCATTGCAGATGGTATTGCATGATGGTCATTCCTGTCTTAGGGGGTCATGGTGAACAAACACACTCATCCCTCCCTCAGTTCCCCATCATTGGCTATCCAGCCCAGCTCACCAAGGAAAGAATGAACTCAATAATCTTGAAGATGACTTGTTCATAAGACTTAAGATTAGAGTTCATCACAGCTGTCTCCCATTTCAGCCAAATCAAGATGATGATGATAGTGCACCTGGATAGGCTGCATTTTGATAGCATCTATCTGTTTCTTAATGAAGGCCATCAATTTATTAAAGAGAAAAGGTCCTAGCGATAGAAGAATTAATAAGCCGAACAAGGGGCCTAACGGGGGAAGAAGATAGGGCAGCAATCCACAGTCTTTGAAGGGATGTGACTTGAAGTCAGGGCATGTAGGGTCCCCCCTCTACATTCACATGGGGGTCCATACAGAGATGCTAGCAACTCATCTGGATTGATGGATCCTTGATCAAACCCTTCTTCTGAATGAGACACCAACAGCAAGACAGGCCAGAGTGTGATGTGAATCTTCATTTCTGTAAAACAGAAAGGAATAAAATTCTCAGGAGGGGCAATTCCCCCTGGAATGACGTATATTATTATCTATTTGTTTAATCTTTCAGGAAGCCATCTGGCACATTTCATTTCTTCAGAGTATATGCATACTGATCCTCGTCCCCATATTAGGACTGGGTCAGGTCCATGCCAAGTGTTGTCTCAGGGGTCTTTCCACATAACTGTGGCCAAAGTTTTCTGTGTATCAGAGTGCCAAAATCGTGTGGTGGCAGATTTTCCATCATCATCCAAATTTTAAAAATTAATAATGAAGAGAGCATGTGTCAGGATATTCCTTGGCATGCCTTTGGTGTGATACCAAGTCCCCCTTTTTAATTTATTAATAATTTATTAATAGTCAGCTTGAGTGGAAGATTAGCTCTTTCCACTGTTCCTTGTCCCTGAGGATTATATGGGATTCCAGTAAAATGGTTGATTAGCAAGTTGTTTGCTGAAATCCTTGAAATTGACACTGGTATATCCAGGTCTATTATCAGACTTCATTTGTTGGGGAGTGCCCATGACAGAAAATGCAGCTAACAAATGGCTGACTACATGTTTAGTAGTTTCTCCGGTCTGAAGAGAAGCAAAAATGAATCCACTATATGTATCTGTATTAACATGAATATATTTAAGGTGACCAAATTCTAAAAGATGGGTAACATCCATTTGCCAGATAGTGTTGGGCACAAGTTCCCCGGGGATTAACTCCCAGATGGGGTACAGGTAAATGCTGGATACATTCTGAGCAATTTTTAACTATCTGTCTAGCTTATTCCCTAGTAATTTGATACGTAAGGTGTAAAGTGTTAGCATTGAGATGATGTAATGAATATCCTTTACTCGCTGCTTCAATGCCTGTGTTCTGGATGGAATCGACGGGCAAAGCTATAAGGCATCTGGTATCTTGATCAACCAGATGATTACCTTTGGATAAAGGTCCAGAGAGGCCTGAATGAGCATGAAGGTGCCACAAAAAAAAGAAAAACTTTCTAGTTCTTATGATAGAAGTTAGTTGTCTAAACAAATTACCAGTCTCAGAGGCATTTTTAATTTGACTTATAGTTCCTAAAAGTGGTACTGAGTGGGCAATATAGCACTGTCAGTATAAATGTTAAATGATTGA